CCTGTCCTCAGGGAGCCCCGGTCTGAGGGGGGAGACACAGGCCTGTCCTCAGGAGCCCCAGTCTGAGGGGGGAGACACAGGCCTGCCCTTAGGGAGCCCCGGTCTGAGGGGAGACACAGCCCTGCCCTTAGGGAGCCTCAGTCTGGAGCCCGGGCAAGACCTCTGTTTTCCTCTGAGGGTTACTGCTCAACAAGGAAGTCTCTTTCCACAGCCACTCCCTGACTCACCTTTCCATTTACCTCCTGCAGCCAGCAGGGGTCTCAGAACGGGGGAGCAGTCATCTTTGGGGGTGTGGACAACAGCCTGTACATGGGACAGATCTCCTAGGCCACGGCACCCAGGAACTCTACTGGCAGCTCACTGAGGAGTGAGTCTGTGGCAGGGCCCTGGGGGTGTGGGCACTTCCTTGGAGTAGGCTTTGAGGCACTTCACATCATACACACACATCCAGGTACTGCTGTGGGGTGGGGACAGAGGACCCCTGAGGCCTGCCCCCACAAAGCCTCAGCTGCCCTCTGGAGATTCAAGGCCCAGCTCAGCCTGGAGAAGAAGGGTGGGATGGAGACAACAGAGGAAGGGGCAGGACTTGGAATCGCAAATATTTCAGACCCTGTAGTCCAACACTATGGGCTTACAGATCAGAAACTGGGGTGCATGTAGGAGGGGCTAATTTGCTCAAAGTACTTATAATGAATCAGTGGCCCTGACTATCAGTATTTCTAGAATCATCCTTGGAACTTTTTAGAAAGACATTTCATGCACATTTAGATAGACTCTGATATGGTGTGAGGCAGGTGGACGGCTGGATTGACCTCTGCGGAGTCCTTGCCTTCATGAGGTACACCTTGATTCTGTGGCTATAGCTGATTGTCCCTCAGTGATGGGGAAGCTCACCCTCTAGCTGCTCTGAGCTGTGGGGTGCTGAGCTGCTCATCCCCTCACCATTCAGGCTCCTCATTGGCAGCCAGGCCTCCAGCTGGTGCTCCCAGGGCTGCCAGGCCAGCATGGACACAGGCACATCTCTGCTTACTGTGCCCCAGCAGTACGTGAGTGCCCTTCTGCAGGCCACGGGGGCCCAGGAGGACCAGAACAGACAGGTATGTCTGGTGGAGGTGTCCCCTTTCCTAGGAGAGGCCAGCCAGGAGGCATTTGTGGTTTCTCCTGGGAGCATAGGAATAGCTTGATTCTTGGCCTCCATGCCTGTAGCTGCCCCAAGGCACTGGAGGGGGGTGGGAACTGGGATGGCTGGGGTTGGGGGGCAGCCTGGGGGCCTGGAGGCTGATTCAGGGGGGCCAGGTGCTTGTGCTGAGGAGCTGTGGGGAGGTTACTACCAGGCAGAATTTCCTCTGAGCTTCAGCCCCTCAGAGGAAACAGGTTAAACACTTGCCGGGCTTTGGAGTAAGAAAAAAATAACTGAACTGCAGGGCCAAGCCGGCAAGAGCCAGGGACAGCCCTTTAATCTACACCTCCCTCACCTCCACAGGGCCACCCCGCAGCTCTGCCTCTCTTCTGAGCCCAGCCAAGGGTTTGCCTCATTCGTGCATCTCACTAACTTTGAGGGACTGCTGGGCTACTCCTTCTACAGACCTGTAGTTTTAAAAGGACACTTGCAGAGAAGGGGCATAGATTCAGTCCCTCATGGGGGAAATCTAGGGAAGAGTAATGTTTTGGGGGGAGATGCTCAGGTCTCCCAAATCCCACGCACTGTCCATGAGTCCACATGTGTAATGCCAGCAGGATTTACACAAGACTTTCCCTTACTGTTGCAACCTCCAGTCCGAAAGCAGGCTCGGGGTTCAGGCCGGGGACCAGAGGGGCTGAGGTAACGGGGTTGGCAGGTGCTCTCAGGTGGGCAATGAGGCATCCTGGGCCGTGTTCCTCCTTGCAGTTTCCTGCGGACTGTAACAACACCCAGCGCCTGCCCTCCTTCACCTTCATCATGAGTGGCGTGCAGTGCCCTCAGCCACCCTCCTCCTACATCCTCAATGGAAGTCATGGTCCCTGGAGGCTGAGCCAGCCGGGACATGACTGGGAGTGGGAGGAAGGCGGGAGTGGGGAGCCAGAAATGCCTGGTCTCCTTACCTTGTGCCATTTCCTGACTCCTTGTGGCACTGATTTATTTTCCCCACTCATTGATTCTAAACCCCCTTCTCTGGAATGAGGCTGTGACATAGAAGAGTGTCATCTATTATTAATTATTATTATTAATTAGTGGGGAGAGGCACTGGGCTCTGAGCACTTACTAGGGTCAGCCATTGTGTGAAGCACTTTGCTGACACTATCCCACTTAATTGTCACAATATTCCATAAGGGAAATACTAAATTCTATTCCACAAGTCAAAACTTGGAAGTTCAGAGAGGTTAAGTAATTGACCCAAGGCTATACAGCTAGTCAAGGTGAAGCTAAGGTTTGAATCCAAGTTGCTGTGACACAAAAGCATTACCACCAGGCTGACCTACCCCAAACTGGGAGCAGGAGGGAGCTGGTGGGAACACAGGGAGGGGAGACCCTGCAGAGGCCACTGCAGCCTGCGTTCACCCATTCCAGAAATTCCTCTCACCAGCACCTGTTCTGGCGGCTCAGTTGGCCGGTGAGTCCTCAAGGGCAGAGACCCTGGCTCACTCATTTCTGCATTTGTGCCTCTGGGCCAGGGCTCAGGGCTAAGCAGTGCCCAGTCCACGTGTGAGTGAAGGAATGAGTGCTGCCCGGTAGTGCTGTGCAGAACAATGGCTACTGCACCATGGGGGTCAAGCCCACCTACGTCCTCCCAGAATGGCCAGCCCCTGTGGATCCTCGGGGACATCTTCCTCAGGTCCTACTATTCCATCTACGACACAGGCAACAACAGGGTGGGCTTCACCACTGCCACCTAGACTCAGTGCCTGGACGCCTGCACTCCCTTCTTCCTCTTGGCCCCCTACCCTGCAGGGGATTCTCTCTGTGCTTCTTTGGATTCAGCTTTCCTTTTCTGGACTCTGGACTTCCTCTCCTAATGAATAATTCTTCTCCATATTGGCCAGCTGGTGGTTTTTAGAGGGCAGTTGTGGCCTGTAAGGTGACTCCCGGTCTCAGGCAATGGGAAAGAGTCAGGGGCAGGTTTGCCTCTGCTGGACCATGTTCTCCCTGAGATGCTAGGAGGTTTCTGGGTGGGTCACTGAGATTCTAAGAGAAATGGGGCATAAGGTAGGGCTTGGGGATGGGCCCTGTACCCCTCAGAGCCTGGAGTCTGTTCACAGCTTCTCCCTGGAGGGAAGACAGTGGTAGTGGCACGAGGCAGGGCATTCCTTTGTGAGGGCAAAGGAGCCCTACTCAATCTGAAATGCTCTGCTGTCCTAATTTACCAAACTACCACCAGAATTACCCCATGCATGTCTCCATGCACGTCCACTCCTAGTGTGACTAGGAGTCCAGTGCATCCCAAACCTAGGCCTCCATCTCCTTATCTGTGAACAAGTTTGCACTAGGAGTGTTCTGAGGAATGCTGGATGCCTGTGTGTACTTGTAACAGTCACGGGTCCTTTAGGGAGGAGGGTGATGCCACCAGACCCTACTCCCAGGAAGGCTTCAGAAGGTCTGGGCTGAGTTAAGCTGATCCTATTTTCACCCAGACTTTTATGTCCCAGGGCCTGTATCTGAAGAAGGGCTGGCCCTCAACCATGGACAAGAGGGACAGCTACTTGAATCACATGGAAATCAAGCCCACTTGCTCTAACCAACTGAGCCAGGGCTCTTGTCCCTCTGAGCTTCATCCCTGCCTCCTTAGGAGCCACCCAGCAACAGACGGAGAAACCTGTGGCAGCATGGTATGCGGAGGAGGAGGACGACGAGGAGGAGGAGGCGGAAAATGATGGCTTAGCACCCTGTAACTTCCAACAGAGGAAGGGGATATGAAAGGAGATGGGAATATTTCTTATTTTGTGTGTGTGTGTGTGTGAGGAAGATTAGCCCTGAGCTAACATCTGTTGCCAATCCTCCTCTTTTTGCTGAGGAAGATTGACCCCGGGCTAACATCCGTGCCCATCTTCCTCTACTTTATATGTGAGACACCTGCCAAAGCATGGCTTGATGAGCGGTCCGTAGGTCTGCGCCCGGGATCTGAACCTGCGAACCTGGGGCTGCCAAAGTGGAGTGCATGAACTTAACCACTATGCCACTGGGCCAGCCCTGGAACATTTCTGATTTTTGATGGTGGTGGTGGGTACTAGCAAGCTCTGACTGACGAGGCCTAGGTGGGGAGGCAGTATAAATGGAAAACTCATAACGGAAGAGGAGGTGGGCTCCACTGTACACTCATATTTCTTTCACCCTGTCCTTCACAAGACTGACTCCGATCTTGTCCCTTATGCTCACAGTCAAGGGTAAAAGCACAAGATCCAGGTCTGGAACCCTACTCTAACCCAGGAGGGAAAGAGGTTTGCCACGGAGCAGTTTCTATGGCAACAGCACACCATCTGGGACCCTACGTCTTTTCCAGACTCTGGGAAAAGCAGCCTACGGCAGGCCTATCCTTGGGGTCAGGCAGGCCACAGGGTGTATCATAGTGAGCTCTGATTCAGGACATCAATGCCTGAGAAGAGAAAGAAAACTTGAAAAAGGGACACCAACGAATTGGAACAAAGGTTCCAACTTCAACTCCAAGTCCCTGTTTGCAGGCCTGGGCCCACATAGCGGGACTACAAATCCCGGCGTGCGTGGCAGAGCCGCAGCGAGGACTACGCTTCCCAGCGGGCACCGCGGCAGGACGCCGAGCGGCGGGGCGGGGCGGGGCGGAGCCGCGGGGATGGGTGCTGCCCTCTGCCGGGCGCGGCGGGAAGTGGGTGCGGAGTGACAGCGGGAGCCCGGGCGCCGGGCGCGGGGCTCGGTGACAGCAGAGACGGCGGCCGCGGGTTGGACGTAGGGAGCGGCGGCGCCGACGGCAGCGGGAAGGGCGGACGGGGCGGGCCTCCCTGGTGGCGCGGAGCCGGAGAAGCCCGGGAGGGGGCGGCAGGCGCAGCTCGCGGGCCGGACACCTGAACTTGGGACAAGTTGCTGGAGCCGCGGGGCGCGGGCGGCGGACGGATTGACCTTCAGAGCTAGGTGAGCGGGGCTGGGGGACAAGGGGTGCGCGGAGGGCCCGGATCCCCCGCCCAGGCTCCCCCGCCCCCATCCCGTGGGTCCAGGAGACAGGTGGGTGGGTGGGGGTGCCGGCTGGAGAGGGGAGTGGGACCGTGTGCGCCGCGCCGGCACCCGCCCTGCTGTCCGTCTAGCCCGAGACGCCCGGCGCGTGGCCCGAGCGGCGCTGCCCGCCGAGCCCGGGAGCCCCTCGGGCCTCTCCCTTCGGGCCGGGGCCGGGGGCGGCTTCTCTGCGACCTTATGTAACCAGGCGGGAGGGGCCGGGGCGGGCATGGGCCTTCCCGGCCGGGAGCGGGGAGTCGAAGGGGCGGGAGGCGTGGGAGTGTACTTGCAAGAAGTTTGAGGGATGTGTGGGCCCTGCGCCCACTTCTTCTCCACCGGACGCGGCCGGGGCGGGAGGTGCGGGGGAGGGCGCCGGAGGTAGGGGAGGTGTGCGGGGGCCGAGTCCGGCCGGGCCAGGCCCTGCCTGGATGGTCCGGGGGAGTGGGAGGGCCGGAGCGGCGCCACGCCCCGGGGGCTGGGCTGCTGGAGGGGGGGCGGGTGGAAGTACCATCCCTCCCTCCCTTCCCGTCCGTTCCTCCCCCTCGGTCTCCTGAAGCAGCCGCCTCTGCCCGCGTCCCCGGGTATCCCTAAGCGCAGTCTTTTTCTTCCCCTTGCATTATTCCACGACCTTAGGGAACCTCAGAGCTCACCCTCCACGAGTCCCTCTTCCTGCTTTCCCTGGAGCTCTCAGCCATCTTCCCGCCCCCCGAATGTCCCCCACCGTCTGGGTCCCAAATCCAGAAAACACGCCCCCTTCCCCCTGTTCCCTGAGTCCGCGCCGCCCAACCCCAGGCTGTCCCGCCCCGCGAATCGGCGCTCCTTCTTCTCCCCCTCCCCATTCCCGGGCCATCTATTGGCCGCAGCGCGTGCGCTCGCCTCCTCGAAGGGAGCGGGCCCATGCCAGCTGGGTCCCCGCCCCTCGGGCCCCCTCCCGGCCCGGGGCTCTGGCTTCACGCACGGCTGCCCCTAGCTGCTCCGGGTTGTGAGAGCAGGTTCGCGCCGCAGCCGCCCGGCGCGCCCCGGCCTCGCGCCCAGGGGGAGGGGAGAGGGGGGGAGGAAGGGAGGGCACCCGGGGCGGGGCTCGTCTGCGCGAGCGCCCGCACTGCCCAGGGCTCCCCGCTTCCCGAGCCTTGCCAGCCCCTCACCGCGGAGTCCTCCCCCGATCCCCCGTCAACTGCAGCCGTCGTCCGCTCGCCTGTCTGTTCTGGGGACGGTTCTTCGCCGACAGTCTCTCGACTAAATTTGAGCGCAGTGCTGGGAAGTGTCAGTTAGTTACCGCTTAGCTCCCGCCTCCCACCTTGATTGAGGGGGTGCTTAGTCTACCAGGGAAGGGGTCAAGGCCGGGGCCGGGCCCTCAGTGACACCTCTGGGATGTGGGCTCAGGCCCCTGCACCCACCCCGTCCGAGATTCCACTAGCCCAAGACCTGGTGCTCTTGGCCAACGGGATGGAGGTGGGGGAGGGGGCTGGTCTCTGGTGTCCTATAGATCAGGACGCAGTTCTTGGTTCCTTGGCCGATTCCCTCTGAGGCCTTCTCTGTGCGCAGTATGGGAGACAGCCCCCAGGCCCTGGGGCAGGCAGATCACAGTCTGGGAGAGAGACAGCCAGCAATAGCTGGTCACAGAGGCAGTGGAAGGGGAAGGGCTGGCTGCTTTGAGAGCCCTGCATGGTAGTCTGCCTGTAGGCTTGTACCATGCCTCAGTTTCCCCAGCGGTGGGAAACATAGTAATTCACTTGGCCCCCTTCCTTCTGCCTGCCTCCTGGCTGCTGAGATGGGCGAGCGGGAACCAGAGAGTGTACATGTGGGGCTGTTTGGGTGACTCTAACTCTGCTTCTCCAGGGGAGGAGCCAACATTGCTTACAGTTTACAAGGCCTGTCACAGCTGCAGTGCTATTTCATCCTCAGCTCAGCTCTGTGAGGTGCAGCCAGATGGGAACCCAGGTCTCCTGGTTCCAGGTCCCACTGATGGGGTGCAGGGCTTGGGGCAGGGGACGTTTCAAGTGAACACTGAGTCCAGGGAGAGCCAGCGGGGCTTCTGAAGGCTGATGGCTGGTGACTCACCAGGGCGGGTGGGCCAGGGCAGGCAGGAGCCCCTCCGGGGTTCTGGGATGTGCGGATACCCAGTGCCCACCCCCATTGCCAGTCAGGCCCCCCTTTCAGCCTCTCAGTTGGAAAGTAGGGGGGAGGGACCTCCCACCCTTCAGGCAGGGCTGTCCTTTGAGGGTCTGGCCTCAGGCCGTGATCCCTCCAGGGCCCTGTTTATGGCTGTAATTGCATCATTAGGAGTTTATAGAGTTACTTAGCACCTGCCCCCACAGGGAGTGGCCCAGCCACCCCCTGGCTTCTGTCTCTTCCTTTTCAAAGTCAGCTCGGTCTCTGCCGGCAGCAGCAGGGGTTTCCCCGACTGCAGCTGGCAAGAAAGCCAGGTTGGGCCTTTGTCCTGGGGATGGGGGGCGGTCGGCACTGGGGACGGGTGTGGGGCTGCCCTGGAGATGACCGTGGACATTGGGTTGGCCCCCTCTGATACAGAGGGAGGCAGGTCAAGATTTCCAGAGCTGCCAGAAGTGTCCACAGCCCAGGATAGAGTGAGCGTATCTGCATGTAATGTGTGCACCCTCATCTGAAAAGAGGGAGATAAAAATGGGTACACCTCACAGGCTGTCGTGAGCCTTCAGGGTGGAGCAGGGCTGGTACAGGGTGAGACCGTGGTGTTGCCCTGTGTGTTGGTGTGCGGTGTGTGTACCCGATGGGAGTTTGTGTGCATGGTTATGAGATTGTAGGTATCTAGGTATGTGTGTATAGATGAATTATGTATATGTGTGTCTATGGGAGTATAGCAATAACACGAGAGCATATTAATAAAATATTCATCTATTCTCTTCATGCTATAATAGGACAATATTATAATAAAATTTAGTTATAAACAATAGTTGCCAACATTTATTGTGTATTTATTCTTTAGAATGAGGCAGAAATTATTATTTTCATTATACTGATTCAGAGAAGTTAAGCAAGTTGCCTGAAGTCACACAGGCTGGAAGTGGTAGGGATTCTAACCAGGCGCAACTGACTCCGAGATCCATGTTCTCAGTCCCTAAAGAAGCCCACTGCAGGTATTCTCAGGGGTTCTTTCTTAGAAGGTGGAGGTGTGTGGTCTGGGAACCTTCTTTCCCCATTCAGGGTCTCCTGCTCTGAGCAGGGGTGGGAACTTGCTGAGGCCCCCATGTTTGGGCTGTTCTTCTGAGCTGCAGACACAGGTGAGCAAAGGACCCTGGCGAGCACTCTCATGACTAGCCCGAGGAGGAGATGGTTCAGACCAGGCTTCCTGGGTCTCCTTGGAAACCTCAAATGTTACCTTGTTTAATCGGATGTGGAGAAGAGGCTGTGGGGACAATTGGGTGGAGATGAGACACAGCGAAACATGAGGAGAACATAGGGCACCCCACGCTGCCTCTGACAGGGCCCTGCTCCTCTCAGCCTCAGTTTCCATATCTGTGAACCTAGATTATCTTTGGGGTTCCCTTCGATGAGAACCTTCTACAGATCTTTGGCAAAGGCACCTGGACAGGAGAGGCTTCAGAAAGAGAGAGACGTGCAGTGCGGGGTGCAGGGGCTGGGGAGCTGCTCAAGTCCCCTCGATAG